CCCCCCGGCTCAGCACCTCCAGACCCGGAACCCGCAGGCTCAACACCTCTAGCAGCACCAAAGTCAACAGCTACCTCGACAGGCTTGACTGCGTCTACCTGGGACACGCCTGACGGGGCAGGACCCTGAGGGGGGAGGGGGTCTACCGGGGGAGGACCTGGCGCAAGGAAGAGCGGCGGCGGGGGGAGGGGCGCAGTGCGGTAGGGGAAGAGACGGTAGTAAGGCACCGACTCGTCAAAGGTGACGTCCAGGGAGGACAGAACACGGCGCGAGGAGGGGTGGTAAAACTGCCAACCAGGCGCGTCAGGGGGGAAGCCAAGTAAGACGCAGGGAAGAGCATGGGGGGACAGCTTGTCCGCAGACAAGTCGCGGACAAACGCCCGAGATCCCCAGACCCGAAACGCAGACGCATCGCCAACCTTCCCCGTCCACCACAAGGTGGGGGAGGTCTTTAGCAAGGAGACCCGAGGCTGAAGGTTGAGCTGATGCGCTGCGTACTGAACCGCAAACGGCCACAGAAAATGGGGAGCAGCTGCGTGGATCATGGATGTACGAGCGACGTCCATGACCATGCCAATGCGGCGCTGAGCAATCCCATTTTGCTGTGGAGAGGCCGGAAGCGTGAAGGTTTGGCGTATGCCCTGTGCACGACAAAAGGCTCCCAGACGGGCAGAGGAAAACTCCCGCCTCTGTCAGAGTGTAGACGCAGAACAGGAAAGTCCGAGCCAAAACTCTCTCTGAGCTAGAGACGAGCTGCGCGGATCCAGCCGATCAACACCTCAGAGACGTCACCCTTGCTGCGCAAGGGGAAGACTGTGGTGTAACGCGTGTAGTAGTTAACCACCAACAGGAAGTAACGCTCGTGACCCTGGCCACGGACGCGGGCGGGGCCCCACACGTCCATGTGAAGAGTCTGCAGCGAAGCCTCTGTCGGAGGAAACTCGGAGGAGTGAGGGGCGGCGCGCTGCCGCCCCTTGACGCAGGGAACGCAGGTAGGGCCAGGCCCCAGAGGTAGGGGAGGGAGGGACCGGGGGAGACCAGAGACAAGGACACGGGAGGCCATGCCTCGGAGACGAGGCAAGGAGGGGTGAACAAGGCGGTGGTGCCAAAGGAGAGTCTGGTGGGACAGGAGACGACACGAGCAGGGAGCAGACTCAGGACCAGACCTGGACGCTGCAGCAAACACCTGACTCGACGCAGTTACCTGACCAGACTCAGCAACCGGAGGAGACTCAGCAGTCAGTGTGTACAGGCTCAACCCCGGCCGATGGGTAAACGTGGCCAAGTGTCGGCCCGTCCGAGCACACGTGCAGTGGGTCACCCGCTGACTTGCAAAAGTGAACTGATCAACCCCCCTATCCTGTAGATCAGCTCCACTCACCAAGTTCGTAGAGAACGAGGGGAGGTAGAGACCTGACAGGGTGCCAGAGGGGGCTGCCGGACACGATAAGACAGTGGAGAAGCTAGCAAGGACAGGACCCTCAGAGGGGTCCGCCAGGGAGACTGCAACCGGCCGACTAAGCGGCCTAAGTGTGGTGCGGTCTCGAAAGAAGGAGCGGGAAGCACCCGAGTCAAGGGTGAAGGTGTGTAAGGCCTGATCCGACGTGGTACCTGAGAGGGCAGACTCACCAGCACCTAGGGCAGCAGACACACTAGCACCTAGAGCAGCAGCCTCACCAGCACCTAGAGCAGCAGCCTCAATGCCCGGTTCAGGAGGAACACACAGGTAACAGTCACCCTCATCACTATTAGACACAGCATACATGGCAGCAAGAATAGCATCATAATCAAGATCAAAGATAGCAACCCCCGCCCTAGACAGCTCTCCCCAGCGAGGGATCTTAGTGGCGTCAGGGAACTGATGACGCCACGCGTCCGTTAGGTGGCCGAAGCAGCGCTGGGTGGAGTGCGGGCCCCCGCATTGCTCACCAGCGCGGTCGCCGGTACAGAGGACGTAGGTGTAGGGACCAGTACCTCCACCTCGGTGACGCCCAGCATACCACTCACGAAGCTGCTGGGGGGACAGGGTCTCACGACTGCGCTGCTGCTGCTGGCGCAGACCACCACCGGACCCACTCCTCTGCGCAAAGCCGCGACCAGCTCCACCGCTGCCGCCGCCGCCTCCGCCACCTCCGCCGCCTCCGCCACCTCCGCCGCCTCCGCTCCCTCCACCACTGCCGCCGCCTCCTCCGCCTCCACTGCTGCCACCGACACCTCCACCCTCGCCACCACTCCCACCACCACCACCACCCCCTCCACTGCCTCCACCACCACCTCCACCGCCCCCGCCTGCCCCTCCAGCGCCCTTGCCTTCCTTGCCCTTGCCGGTGCGGCACCTCCCGCTAGGGGCAGACGCAGCGCCGACCGACTCGAAACCAACGAGGTCGGCCACAGCAGCAGAAGCAACAGAGGGCAAGAGGGGGGAGGGAGAACACCCCTCAAAGACGGGGGTACGAGGGTCACCACGAGAGGCTCCTACAGCGACTATGCTCTTCTCTGCTGCTAGGAGGCGCTCCTTGAGGAGGTCAACGGTGAGTGTGGTGGGGCAAACTGAGAGGAAGTGGTCCCTCACTAAGCGAAGGGAGTCAGGGAGTCGTGTGACTATGTAGTAGAGGGTGATGTATATGGGGGGAGGGGTTCTTGGCACAGAACTCAGCAGGAAGCACAGCGCGGTAGCGAGTGTCACTAGTGCGAAGGTGCGTAATGAGGTCAGCTACTATGGGAAAGGCAGCAAGGTCAGGGAACAGGTACGGCAGCATGAGGCGGCTAAGAGCAGCAGTGGCAGGGGAAGGGTAGCGTGCAACTACGGCGTCGTACAAGGTCTTAGCACTCTTGTACTGACTAAAGTGTGCACGCTCAGTGGTCGGTAGGTGGCGACGCACAGCAAGACGGGCAGCAGCATCGCGAGTGGCCCACTGTGAGCGAATAGTGCTGTCAGCAGTAGCCGGCGGGGCAGGAGAGGCACCAGAGGTGAGATCGAACAGAGAGAGTCCGTCTGCCCTATCGCACTGTAGGAAGAGCTGGAGGTCATTGACCCAGACCTTAAAGTCAACAGCACGACCCTCAGCATCAAAGGTAAGGATGCTGGGGGTAGCCATGACTGCAGTGGCCTAGCAGGGAGTGATCTCACCAGTTCGAGTAAGTAGGGCCGGGGCGCGCCGGTAGGAACAGTAGCGGCTCGACGGCAGGGCGGCTCGGCGGCTCGGCTGCTGGGCGGCTCGGCGGCTCGTTTGCTGGGCGGCTCGGCGGCTCGGCTGCTCGGCGGCTCGGCGGCCCGGCTGTTGGGCCGCTTGGCTGCTGGGCGGCTCGGCTGCTGGGCGGCTCGGCTGCTTGGCGGCTTGGCGGCTCGGCGGCTTGGTGGCTCGGCTGCTCAGCTGCTGGGCGGCTCAGCGGTGAAGGGGCCGGTAGAGGCGGCGACGGGGCCGGTAGAGGCGGCGACGGGGCCGGTAGAGGCGGCGATGGGGCCGCGAAGAGGCGGCGACGGGGCCGGTAGAGGCTGCGATGGGGCCGCGAAGAGGCGGCGGCGGGGCCGCGAAGGGCGGCGACGGGGCCGCGAAGAGCGGCGACGGGGCCGCTAGGGGCGGCGATGGGGCCACGAAGGGCGGCGAGGTGGCCGCGAAGGGCGGCGACGGGGCCTCCAGGGGCGGCGACAGGGCCGCTAGGGGCGGCGACGAGGCCGCAGAGGGGCCGCAAGGGGCCTAGAAGAGGCGGCGACGGGGCCTAGAGGGGCGGTGACGAGGCCGCGAGGGGGCTGTAAGGGGCCTAGAGGGGCGGCGATGGGGCCGCAAAGGGGCCGCAAGGGGCCTAGAGGAGGCGGCGAAGGGGCCGCGAGGGGCCTAGAGAGGCGGCAACGAGGCCTAGAGCGGCGGCGTCGGGGCCGCGAAGGGGCCGCGAGGGGCCTAGAGGGGCGGCGACGGGGCCAAGAGGGGCGGCGACGGGGCCGCGAAGGGGCCTTGAGGGGCCTAGAGGGGCAGCGACGGGGCCGGAAAGGACGGCGACGGGGCCGCCAAGGGTGGCGCAAAGGGCCTCTAGGAGGGCGCGACGTGAGGGCGGCCTACGGGGCGCGCCTCGGGCAGGAAAAAAAAGTCGAGTTAGGTGGTGGGCCCTGAGAAGCGTTCCCACGAGGGAACCTGCTCTATACCATGTGAAGAATAAGGAATGAATGAACTAGGAAAGAGGTGGCTACAAGTAGGAAAACCTAGAAATGTTGTACCCCATATAGTCTACCCCACTACAGCCTACACAGACTATAGCATATAAGTTTGACATAACTAGCAGAAGATGGGTAAATATGACAAACCCTCGAAAGTGTTGCACCCTATATGATGCACATCGCTGTAGCCTAAGAAACCCAACACACATATGAATATAGTTTGATGATTGTGCACATGCCGCGAGCGACTTCACGCGTAGCGCTATCAGTGGTGGCGGTCGAGCACTGTCCCACACTCTCGTGTTGGGACGGTGTTGTTGCTGCTGGTGCTACTTGCTATGCTTGTGTTGGTGTAGGATTTGATGCGCTTTAGAGGGAGTCTTGTTTCGCCGTGAGAGTGGCCATTTTGTGTGCACTCTCTTCTCTCTCTTGGAGCTACTGCATTATTTCATCCTAGCGCTCATGCGTTTGTTTTTTTTTCATTATTGCAATCATTTGGGGCTCTGAGTATCAATTGTTACGAGTGCAATTGAAGAAGCGAGCGAGGATTGCACTAAATGGTGAAACAAATGAATGTGAGCGAAGGTAGGAGTAGGACAATTTTTATCAGGGTAAATACCCTGAATTTAGGGTGATTTCATACTATTCACTTTGGGGAGACTGAAATTTCGGTATTACTTGTTTTGAACACTGATCCATTCAGAGTATTACTATCGCACATACACTTCCGAGTCAGCTTCACATCAATTCCTCTCGATACATGCGCTGCCAGTGTAGCAGCCCCCCCTATCACCCCTGCTCCTCCTCCTCCTCCTCCTGCTCCCCCCACCCCTCCTTGTCTTCCTCTCTACACACCCGGCCCACCAGCAGCTCCAGCAGCACCACCACCAGCGGCGGCGAGTGCAGCAGCGCCGGCAGCAGCGGCAGAAGCAGCAGCATGAAAGCCTCTGCGGGCGTCCAGCATAACGCGCGCCACCTCAGCCATGTCCGGGCGGCGCGTGGACGGCAGCTGCACGCAGAGGGCGGCGGTGCACGCCATCTGCAGCAGAAAGGGCAGGTTGAGCGGCGAGGCGATGCGCGCGTCCGCTATCACCCGCACCTCCCCGCGCTCTATGTATGGCACCGCCTCGTGAGGGGGGAGAAGGGGGGGGGAAAGGGTGGCACAAATTTGTGAGAGGCTAGAAGAGGAGATGCGAGCTTCTGCTATCACCCGCACCTCCCCGCGCTCAATGTATGGCACCGCCTGGTGGGGAGAGGGGGCGGGAGGGGGTGGGAGGGGGAGGAGTAGGAGGATGGCACAACAGGTGAGGTCTCAGAGAGGCGAGGCGAGTCGAGGTGATGCACGTGTCGGCTATCACTCGCACCTCCCCGCGCTCAATGTGTGGCACCGCCTGGTTGTGGGGGGGGAGGGGAGGGGGTAGGTGTTAGGGAGGGTGGCACAATAGGTGACATATAGGTGAGGCGAGGCGACACTCGATTAATGTATGGCACCCGCTGGTGGAAGGGAAGGAGAGAGAGGGGGGGAAGGGGGTGGCGGAAAAGGAGCGGGGTGGAAAAGAGGAGTGAAAGGAAGGAAAACAATCTGCTCTCACGAGCTTGAGAATAGAATGTAAGAATAAAGATACACAAATTATTCAACAATCTCTTCCTCCCCTCCCCTTATAAGCATATAGCTTTTACTTTTGTGCTAAAACTATGTGCGTTACTTAATCTCATGTTTGGTACAAAGTGTAAGTGCGTTACTAAATCGTGTGTTTGGTACTTAGCATAAGATGAGTGGAAGAGGAAGGAGAAGTAGAGAGAGGCAGGGATGGCTTAGTATGGTTAGATTACATTGAGGCGAGATGACACATCGTGAAAGCATGGTGGAGAGAGGGGAAGAGGTGTGATGGAAGATGAGAGGGTTGCCACTGTGACTCGTGACGAGCCAAGCACGGCGACATCGCTTAATAGGCGCACAAGCATAGCATTCAGTGCAGGATGGAAGGTTATTCGGTGCCCTGAAGCATTTGGGAGCTCAGCTCACCCAGGTGCTGACGTGGACATGGCTGCTCAACCAGGTGCTAACAAGGACATGACAGCTAACCCATGTGCTGACGTGGACATGACAGCTCACCCAAGTGGTGATGAGGATGAGGCAAGACTCGTCCTCCGGATCCGTGGCCGTGGCCGGCCGCCCAGTCACCATCTCGAGCAGTAGCACACCGTAGCTGGTGGGCACAGATGTGGAGAGATGTGGAGAGACATGGAAAGATGCATGGAAAGATGTGGAGAGACATGGAAATATGTGACAGATATGGAGAGGTAATATGGGTCCTCGACTGTGGTGGGTGGTTCACATGGGATGAGAAGGAGCAGGTATGGATGGGAGGGACATGTAACACGGAAATGAGAGGCATGCACCGACGGAGTGAGAGGCACACAATGAGGGGACAAACAGTTGGGAAGTGCTGGGCCATGGGAATGAGAGGGTGAACAGAAGGAGTGTTAATGCTGAAAATAAAGTTGGAATCACTCCGTTTGTGCTTGCAACCGGGGTGCAAGCCCATTCACACACACGGCCTTTAGTTGGCATGATCATGCAAGCAAGCACTCACACACCCATACACACTGCCCTCACGCACACCTGTTCACACCTCACACACATACCTGCACACACCACACACCCTCTCCCACTCACTTGATCACATTGCTTGCTGTGGACACCTTTTCATACGTCATGTACCGAGTCCAGACACATGATACCCCCCCTCGTGTCTGCTCTGTACACACCTGTACACACCGCTTGCTGTGGGGACCTTTTCGCATGTCATGTACTCGGGGTCCAGTTACCGCCACCCTTCACCCCCCCCTCCCCTCCCCCCACTGCTGTACACACACACATGTACACATCGCTTGCTGTAGACACCTTCTCGCACGTTATGTACTCGGGGTCCAGATAGCCCCTCATGTCCGCCACTCCTCGCACCTCACACACTTATAAACACCCCACTCACACTCACCTGTAGACTCGCACCCACCTGTACACATCGCTTGCTGTAGACACCTTCTCACACGTCATGTACTCGGGGTCCAGATACCCCCTCGTTCCCACCACACGTGTGTACGCGCCCTCCCTGACCGCCCCATCGTCCAGCAGCCTCAGCAGCCCAAAGTCAGCTATCTTCACTTGCAGGATGAGAAGGTAGGGTTGTGCGGCACACGGTCAATATGGGATGTGTGTCGGAGTGTGAGCTAAACAGGCTGTGAGGGCGTGTCTGTGTGTTCGTGCGTGCTTCTCAGCAGCCTGAAGTCGGCTATCTTCACCTGCAGGATAACAGGGAACATTCATGCGACAAAAGGTGGATGTGGGATGTGTGTATGAATGTGAGGGATGCATCCTATGAGGCTGTATCTACGTGTCTGTGTGCGCGCTTTTCTTCTACTCAGCAGCCCGAAGTCCGCTATCTTCACCTGTTTTTTTAGAATTCTCAAAAAACAAACGCTGCAAAATGCAAGGCTCGTTTGTGCGATACGAGGTGGATATAGAATGTGTGTCAGAATGTGTGAGAAACAGCCTGGCAGGGTGTGACTGTATGTCTGTGTGTGCTTCTCAGCAGCCTGAAGCAGCTACCTTCACCTGTACGATGACACGGCGCGTTTGTGCAACACAAGGTGGATGTGTGATGTGTATAAGAGTGAGCGAGACAGGCTGTGAAGGTGTGCGCGTGTGTGTGCATGCTTTTTGTCTCTTCTCCTCCTCAACTCATTTTAGGAATCTTAATTCAACCCTCAACACCGTATGCATCTTTCCACTACAGTCTGATATTGCCACCTGGTGTGGGGTCAGAAGAGAGTATGTGTGCACGGATGTATTCTCATGGATGCATACGATTGCGCGTGTGTATATGCACGTGGGTTTATGGATGTGTATGTACACACATCTGTGTATGCATGTGAATGGAAACATGAGCCATAGAATGCTCTTGCTCGAACCAAAATGAGTTCATGCAATCTCATGGTTTCTACTTGCCTTGTTATGACTGCTCGTGCGTATGCCTAGCTTATGGCATGATTGAGAATTTAGAACTGATGTTGGTGGGAGTGCTTAAATGACGAGGCAAAATGTTGTGTGTCATGAATCGAGAAAGCCTCTTTGCTAGTATGGTATCAAATGTTTGTCTGCTCATCATTTACATTACTTTGGACTTGTTTTCTCACTCGTGAGTTATTCTATTACCCGTTACTCGCTTCCTAAAAATGAGTAAATCGCGAGTACTCGATTATTCGCGAATATTGCTCGACTCGACGAAAACGAGTAAATTTTCTGTCAGAATAATGATTAGGAATGAACGGACTAGCAGCAGGATGGGTACAAGTAGGAAACCCTAAGTTGTGTTGTACCCTAAATAGGCTACCCCACTACAGCCTACACAATAAGCAGCACATATAGTTTGACACACCCCCATAGGCAAAGTGGGGGAGAACAAGAGGTCACAAGACCAGTCAAGAAAGGATAAGCAAGCTCAGGGTGGATCAAGAAGTCACCACACATTCTGAGCACAAGCAAATGGCCACAAGGCCAGTTCACATGCAGAGTTCTATAGAAAGGTTAACAAACGATACAGTGATCACAACCTAGCAAGTGTAAGCAAGCAGGTACAAGTATATAGATCACAGTACAAGCAAAGTCAAGAAGAGAGCAAGTGAGGCCAGGTAGGCACAAGACGTAGAACAGTACAGAAATGCTGATGATCACAAGGCTGAAGTGCCTTGGTGAAGATATCAGCAGTGTTGGCCCGAGAGGCCACGTAAGCAAGACGAAGCTGACCACGCTGTTGCAACTCTCGAGCAAGGAAGTAACGCAGAGCGATGTGCTTTGTCTTGTGCTCCAGTCTATGCTCCTGACACAAGGCAATCATGCCCTTGTTGTCGACGTACAAAACTGGAGGAGAACAAGGCGGCTCTCCCAGGTTGGTCAGAAGGTAGGTGAGCCAGCGTAACTCCTGTGCAGCCATGGCCCCTGCGTAGATCTCAGCCTCATAGCTGGAGCTGAGAACAGAAGACGAGCGGGTTGACCGCCACGAAACAAAGCCGGAACCAAGGCTGAAGGTGTAACCCTGTGACGACCGCTGAGTAGCCAAGTCGTCAACCCAAGAAGCGTCTGCGTGCCCAGTGAGGACAACTCGACTCCGTCCTCCAAGCACGAGCCCCATGCCCGACGTACTGCACAAGAAGCGCATCACCCTCTTAGCGGCCTTCCAGTGCTCTGGTCGGTGTCTCCCAGGCGCAACGTAGCGCGCCAGGATGCTAAGAGGGTAAGCAAGGTCAGGTCGAGTGCAGGTCATCAAGTACATGAGGCAGCCCACAAGCTCTGGATACGGGCCACTCGGCTCTACGGACTCATCCGAAGGCAGAGTTGAGAGCGAGTGGCTGGTAGGCAGAGGAGTAGACTGTGGCGAGGAGTACTGGAAGTCGAAGCACTGAAGGACCTGCTGCACCATGTGTGACTGAGTAAAGGTAATGGTGCGCCGTGCTCTGTCCCGGGTGATCTGCAAGCCAAGATAGCTGCACAGCTCACCTAGGTCTGTGCACGTGTGTCTCTTCTGCAGCTCCGACTTCACTATAGTCAGTGCCACAATGTTAGCAGTGGCAAAAACCAAGTCGTTGACGTACACGAGGATGTAGAACGGCGGCAGCAAAGTGTCCGTGCGTAGAAACAGCTACGGGTCAGCAGTAGAGGGAGCAAAGCCAAGAGCCGCAAGGGTGGTCCTCAGTGTGTCGTGCCACTCGCGAGGCGCCTGGCGGAGACCGTAGACTGGCCGCTGGAGGTTCCACTGGGTACCAGGAGGGAACGACCCAGTGAAGCCAGGTGGGCGGCGTAGCCAGATCTCCTCGTGCAGGCTGCCCTATAAGAACGCAGTGTTGAAGTCAAGAGAGTGAAGCTCGTAGTCACGCTGAGCGGCGACGTGCAGCAGCACCCGAAGAGTGGTCATCTTCGGGGTAGGGGAGAAGGTCTGGAAGAAGAACTCCCTATCGCTGACTGAAGCCTCGTGCAACGTAACGCGCCTTGAAGATAGGCGGAGAACCCGGCGGCCGCTTCACCCTGAAAATCCACATGCCACTGACGATGTCTGCCCTCCGCACGACAAAAGGCCCGCAAGAGGTCGGAGGAAAGCTCACCACCTCTTTCAAAGTGCAGACGGAAGAATGGAAGGTCCGTCTCGAACCGCTCGCGGAGCTGGAGACGAACAGCGCGGATCCAAGGGATCAGAACATCAGGGACCCCCCCCTTGCAGCGCAAGAGGAAGACTGTGGTGTAACGCGAGTATTCGTCAACAACCAGCAGAACGTACCGCTCGTGGCCCTATCCGCGGACGCGGGCTGGGCCCCACACGTCCAGGTGGAGAGTCTGCAGGGGAGCCTCTATCGGGGGGAACGAGGAGGAGTGAGGAGCGGCGCGCTGCCGCCCCTCGACACAGGGAAGGCAGGGAGGGGCAGGCGATGGTGGGAGGGGAGGCAGAGACCTGGGAAGACTAGAGACAAGGAGACGGGAGTGCATGCCACGAAGGTGTGCCACAGAGGGGTGACCAAGACGGTGGTGCCAAAGGAGTGTCTGGTGCGACAGGGCGCTTCACGAGCAGGGTGCAGCAAGCTGACGTGACGTAGACGCAAACGCAGATTCCTTAGGAGGCGCAGTAGTCAGTGTGTACAGACTCGACCCAGGCCGACGGGTGAATGTGGCCAGGTGGCGACCGGTCCGGGAGCACGTACAAATTGCCACACGCTTCCGTCCAGGGGTGAAGGTGTCAACCCCCGCATCCTGGAGGACAGCAGTGCTCACCAGGTTCGAAGTGAACCAGGGGAGGTGGAGACCTAACAGTGACCCAGACAAAACCGCCAGACAGAGCAAAACAGTGGAGGAACGTGCAAGGACTGGGCCCCCAGAGGGGTCAGCCAAAGACACAGCAACAGGTGCAGTAAGTGGTGTGACTGTGGTACTGTCGCGAAAGAAACAGCGGGAAGCACATGAGTCAAGCGTAAAGGTGTGCATGGCCAAGCGGGTAACGAGTAGTTTGTGCCAAGGAGAAATGTCGAGAAAGGTTGGGTTCACTATAGGACCAAAGGTACATATAGCAAACAAAAGCACCACCAAGCAAACAATCAAATAACTACACTATAGTAACTACAAAAAGCATGATATATTAAACATAACTTTGACACACCCCCTTAGCCTGCTTGCAGTAATAACTAGTGCAGTCAACACCCTCTGAAAGGGGTAGAGCAGGCACAGTGGGAGACGGCAGAGGGGTACGTGAGGGGAGGCGGCGAGAAGGAGAGAGGAGAGGAGAGGAGATGAGAACACAGGAGGAGGTGAGTGAGGGATGAGGAGAGGAGGTGGGGGGGTGGCCGCGGCGTC